ATCTCGTTCTCGTTGGTGCAGAAATCGCCTCGGTGTGGCATGCCCCGTGCTCGGCTGAGACATTGCCCGCGCGTAGTTGGTGGCCGCGTCGAAGGTTGTCAGGATGATGAGCAAACTTGTCATTTCTCCATTCTTCGCTTTCCCACTTGTCGCCCAGGTCGGTCACAAGGGCAACTCCGCATGGCCAGCGATGGCTGGGCCTGCGACACTTGTTGCACGCATCAGTCGTATCTGGCTGGGACAGGAGTGGAATGGGACTCGGCGTAGCTCGCGCTCGATATCACACGCGGGCAGGGCCTCACGCGCGGCGCATTGGCGGGGCCACGTGGCCGCCCTGAAGACGCCGCGGCATTTCGCGCGCAACGCGCGCGCGGGCCTTCGTGGCCGCGCGGAGAATTGCGTGCACTTCGCGCGAGGCGCGCGGGCGGGGCCCCGTGGCGGCACCTCGCGCGCAACGCGCGGGGGCGATCCTGCAGCCGCGCCGAATTCGCATCTGCGACGCCCAGCGCGCGTCGCACGGATGGCCCCCCGACGGCCGCGCGCGCCGGCTCTGCGGCCCCGCGCGCGGCGCGCTCGCGCGGGGTTGCATGGCCGCGCCTGAGGGCTCCCGCTCGTCGCGCCGAGCGCGCCGGCGGGGTTTTCATGCATGGCTGGTCCATATTCCTCGGCAGACTCATGGGGAAGGAAAACAGAGTGGCGCGTCTTGCAAAACGCACGGGGCTACGGCGCGCCAAAGGATCTGCGGCACCTCTCGCGCAGCGCGCGGGCGGGGCCCTGCGGCCGCGCCGCGGGCTCGCGCGCCCCTGCGCGGCGATCGCGGGGGCGGGTGGCGGCGCGCGCCCCCGCGCGGTCCGCGGGCGGGCTCGGTTTCGCGGCTGAGATTCAGTTTGCGCGCCCCCGCGGGCGACGCGCGGGCAGGGCCCCAAAGCCGCCCCGATGCACTGGCGCGTGCCCGCGCGCGGCGCGCGCGCGCGCCCCCCGCCCCCACCCGCCCGTTCGCTTTGGCTCGGCGCGCGGGCGGGGCCGCGGGGCTGCGCAAGAGAGCCTGCGGCCACCCGCGTGCCAAGCGCGCGCGAGGCTTCGTGGCCGGGGCGGAGAGTCTGCGCGCCCCCCCCGCGGGCGACGCGCGGGCGGGGCCCCGTGGCTGCGCCGATGCACTGGCGCGCGCGACCGCGCGCGACCCCCCTCGCCTTGGCCCGTGGCTCGGCGCGCAGATGTGGCCGCGGGGCCGCGCCGAAGGTCCCGCAGCCACTTGCGCGCCAGGCGCTCGCGAGGTTCCATTGCTAGAACGAGGAGTCTGCGCGACCCTGCGCGCGACGCGCGGGCGGGGCCCCACGGCCGCGTGCAGAAAATTTGCAGGCCCCCCCGCGTCATGCGCGGGCGTGGCCGCGCGGCCTCGCCGACAAATCTGCGGCCCCCGCGCGCGGCGTACCGGCGGCGCTTCGCGGCCGCGCCAAAAAAACCCGCGGGCCGCCGCGCCTGGGCCCGCGGGGAAGTAGGGGCCCTTCGTTGCGATCGCTGTTTGGGGAGAGCTTTTCGCTGCCCAGCACTGACGGTGGGTGCGCGCGCTGGCGCCGCCCGCCGCGGCCTCGCGCCCGGGCCCAGCGCGGGGCCCGACGGCGGGTCGCCCGCGCGCGCCGCGCTGCGCGCACCCATGCCCCCCGGGAGCTTTTGGAATGCTGGTGCCCCATGGCAGCGCGGGCTTAATCTTCCGGCGCGTTGCGTTTTTTCTCAAGACGCGGCCCCCTGCAGGCCGTCGGCCCGATCCATGAGGGCAGTCTGTCGGCGTGGCCCTTGAGGTGGCCCTCGGGCCATGGGGGGCGCATCTGCCGAAGGTGCCGCAATTTCGCAGTTTGTTTTTCTCGCGGCGCCCGGGGGCAAGTGGATTTGGCGCCCTTCGGCGACAGGTCCACGAAATCGGACCTCGCTGGCGGCGAGGCGGGGCGCGGGGCGCCCCGGCGGCGTCGCGCGCGCGCCAACAGCGGCCAGTTCAGGCTGCCCTGGCGGGGGGGCAAGGCCCACTGAGGCCCTCGACCCGAGCGGGGGGAGGGCCAGGGGGGGCCGAAATCTCGGCGCGCTCCCGGGCTGCGTCTGAATTTTTCCCGGGCTCCGAACTTATTGATTTTTGTTTAAATGTTCGAACAGTTTGAATTTTGTCCGAGCTCCGGCCCGGCGAGGCCGCCGAACTTTTTTCGAATTCCGGCGAGGCCGCCGAACTTGTTTCGATCTTTGGCGAGGCCGCCCTGGACCCCCCAGGCGGGGGGCGGGGGGGGATCAAATTTTTGAATTTCCCAATTTTATTTTTTTTGAATCATTGAATTTGTGTCGAGTTTTTTTTTCAACTACTTTTCAATCTCTCAACACCGTGTGAGACTCCTCGGGGCAGGACTGCGGCTCCAGGGATTAGGCAGAGGACCTGAGGAGGTACGGTGGCGGTATTCACGCATATGTATCTGCACCACACTTTCCCTGAGACAGCGTACTCCCCCTCCAGATCATTATTCTTCGACCGAGTCATAATAGGGTGAGTGAGGCCCCTTCCCCAGACAGATTCTGCATCGAGCCTCTTTCTAGCGCCAGCTCACCTTGATTCGCGTTTCGATTGCGTGTCCACGTACACAATTTGATTACTGCCCTCCTTGCCGGAGACGTCTGCGAGTGTCTCGCCTCCCTCCGCCCATTCAAAGTTACACCGTATCGATACGAGTTCGCTATTCGTATGTGTTTTTTTTTCAGCCCGAACGTTCTCGGTCCTGTCAAGTTGGCCCTCCCGCTGCAGCGAGGGCCTCATCTCGGATCGCCGCTTTGCCCCCGTCCTTCAGAGAGGCGTTCGCGCCCCAGCGCGGGTCACGCTTCTGGGTCCGAGTTGTTCCTCATCGTTGTCGCTCCCCTTCTTTACCCTCCTCCGCATTCCCCTGGTCGTCCTGCTCCTCCCGCTCATTCCACTCCAGCTGGTGCTGCTGCTGCAGCTGTTCGTCCTCCTCCTCCTCTTTCCTCCTCCTCCTCCTCCTCCTCCTGTTCAACCTCCTGGTCGTTCCCCACCTCCTCCGATGTACGCAGCTCCCCTATTCCGATTGAGCATAACACGACGGGTTCTTTTTGGGAGCTCCACGCCCGTTCTGACAGGCGAATGGAGAGCAAACAGCACAAAAGGGGAAAGGATGGGTGGAATGAGGAGTTGAGAACTTGACCTCAATATTTCTCCTTCCTCATTCCCTATTTTCACCTGCCCCATCCCACCATACTCCTCCAGCTCCTCTTCCTCCTCATCCTTCCCCCTTTTCATCCCTCTCCTCCCTGCCCTCTTGTTCCTGCTTTTCCTCAGCATTCTTCACCTTGTCCGCTGATTCCTCCTCCTCCTCCTCCTCCTCCTCCTCCTCTGTCAACTCCCCCCCTGCTCTCTCATCCTGCTCCTCTTACCTCCTCCATCCTCACTATTCCCGATCTGACCTCGCGCCCCGTTCCCCATGAGATCCGAAGTTGCGAGAAAGCTACAGCATCGCCAAAGCCAGAACCCTAGACCCCACCTTTCTGCGGCATTTGTCGAGCCAGATCGATCCATGATGGTCCCAGGCCCGACTCGGGGCGAAAACTCTGGATGTGAAAATTCTGCAACGCCCGCATCTCAAGGTCCTGTCCTTCCCCTCGTGATCTAAGCTCGTGCCCCCCCTCCTTGGGACCGCGCCTTCGGGAAGAGGCGCTCCGTCTCCGCCTGCTTCGGAGGCGGGCGGAGTGCGCCCAGCAGCTGAAGGACTGGGAGACCGTGCGCGCGGACGCGACGCTGCTGCTAGCGCAGGCGCGCCCCCCAAAAGTCGTCGTCGTCCTCCTCCTCCTCCTCCTCTTCGTGGTCGTCGTTATCCTCCTCTCCTCCTTCTCCTCCTCCTCCTCCTCCTCTTCTCCTCCTCGTCGTCGTCGTGGTCGTCGTTGTCGTGGTCGTCGTCGCCCTCCTCCTCCTCGCGGCGACGGCGGCGGCGGCGGCGTCGGCGGCGGCGGCGGCGGCGGCAGCGTCGTCGTCGTCGTCGTCGTCGTCGCCGTCGCCGTCGCCGTCGTCGTCGGCGGCGGCGTCGGCGTCGTCGTCGCCATACCTGGCGGGGCCAGGGCGAGCACTGCTCCGGAGCGGCACGGCGTCGCTGCCTAGGAGGAGGAGGAGGAGGAGGAGGAGGAGGAGGAGGAGGAGGAGGAGGAGGAGAGGAGGGGGAGGAGAGAGGAGGAGAGGAGGAGGAGGAGGGGAGGAGGAGGAGGAGGAGGAGAGGAGGAGGAGGAGGAGGAGGCTCTCCTCCGCCCGCCCGAGCCCCGGGGCGCGGGGCGCTGCGAGCTTTGCTCGCACCAGGCGTGGTCGTCTGGTCTGCGGGCTCCGGGGCCATCACGGAGCGAGGCGGCCTCGAAGGATGCAGCAGGTCGGCGGCGAGCGAGGGGGGAGGGCGAGAAGGGGAAGGCCCTCTCGGACGGCGGCGGGGCCTCTCAGAAGCCCCTTGGCCTGCCGAGGAGTTTCCTGTGTCTTCGGGGAAGGCTCGGAGTTCTCCTCAGAAGGCCCGGGGGACTTACGAGCCTTCTGAGGAGGCCTTCTCCTTCTCGCTTCTCCCCTGGGCTCGACGCCGAAAAGTGCAGCAGAAAAAGAGATGCTCCAGGGCTGCAGTTCTGATGTTTCGCGAGGTTCGAGGTGTTTCGCAGCGTCGGATCTCGGGGTCTGCCATGCCCCCCATTCAGGATTCGTCTGAGGGGCCCCAGCTTGTTTTTGACGAGGGGGTCTCCGGCAAACTGCTGCTCCCGAGGCCGGGGCTGGGCACCTCGGGGGCGCCCCCCCTCTCCCCACCCCGTGCTCTGGGGCGGGCTTACCCCTGGGGGTTCTCGGATCCCCCTCTGGCAGAGATACGGCGGGGGCGTTGGATAAGGAACCCTGGGGTAAGGAGTCCAGGGTCTGGAGGCCGGTGGAACTCCAATCGAGGCTTGGCCATGGATATCACCGCCGCGCTCATCAGATAAGGAACCCTCCAGGGTCTGAAGCCTCCTGGGCACATTCCTTAACGAACGCCCCCACCGTAAGGCAACGCAGCTCTTCGAATGCGCAGGACCCTTTACGCCCACAGCAGCAGAGCAGAAGGCTGAGCAACAGCCGTCATTGCCCAAGGGGTGGTCCGCATCGGGCCTGGAGTGCGACATCCACAAGACAGCTGCGGGCGCATCCCAGCCATGGGGAACTACAAGGCCATGGCCAGGGATGCCAAGCACTTCCTCCAGAACGGCGGCTCAACGAGGGGACGCTACGTAGAGGGAGTGGTACTTATCGCCATGATTCTTCTCTTGCGCGCAACTTTTGCAACATTCGCCCTGTCTGTTCCTCCTGCTCCATATCCTCTTCCTCATGGTTTTCCCTAGAGGCTATTCCCCGTCCTCGTGATCATGTCCCTTCTCTTCTTTCTCCTCACTACCACCCCTCCTACGTCCGCCCTTCTCCTCCTGCTCCGTTTCCTTGTCGCACAACCTCCTTTCTTTCCCCTCGTCTTGGTCCTCGTCCTCCCTTCTCCTCCTCATCCCGCCGAGGGTTCAGTGTCCATGGCTCGATGAATGAGCCACCAGGGAGGTTGACGAACCCCCAGCCCTCGAGCAAGTACAGGCACACTTGTGGGATACGGCCCTCTCAGATCTCGGAACGGGCTCGATGTCGCGCCGTGGGTGATCCGGGAGCGCGCGCTCGCGCGCATTCGATGCGGCGAAAGTCTCGCAGCGTCGGGGGGGGGGTCGGTGGGCGGCGGTCTGGGCCTCGCGTTCGCACCTCAAGCAATGGTTGGCACTGGGCCAGCAAGCGCGCAGGTGCAAGGTCCCAGATCGGGCCTTCATAATTTCAGGCGGTAGTCTTCTCCCCTGGGAGGCGGCGCGAGAGCGCGAAGTTATTCGCGCCTCGCGCAACGCAGACCGCGAAGTTGGGCACCCTTGAGGGAGGGTGGGGGAGAGGAAACGAGGGAGGGTTTGGGGCAGAGGGAGGAGAAGGGAGGCAGAGAGGAAGAGCAAGCCAGTGGGGTGCGCTCGCGCCACATCTGGTGCTCCTCCCTCCCATCCCTTCCAATTTCAGGAGGGAAAAAACACAGACACAATTCATCGTCGACCCCTCGGAAAATATAGGAAAATATGGGAAGTGGGGGGGAAGACAGAAACCCAGAAAATATGGGAAAATATGGGGATGTGTTTTATTTGTGTGTATTTATTTGTGTGTCCCAGGGCCCCTTCACAGTTGCGATGATTTGTTCTCTATCCGCGGGCGCGTGTCGTAGCCGACCTTTTTTCTACGTCGCAGCGCGGCAGGGGCGATCCGCACGTGCGCTCTAGTTGACCTGGAGCGGGCAAACGAATTGTCCGGCTGCAAGAAGGGGAGAAAGAAGCGGAGGGCGTCCGCGGAAGGCGGGTGAAAGCGGGAGGCCGTTCATTGCACGCAGACCTTGAGGCAGCCTGGCAGTGCATGCGGAGCGGCAGCACGGCCAAACCCAGGGGCTGAGGCAGAGGCTGCAGGCGCCGAAAGCGTAGACCAATTCGAACCAGTCCAGGAGGAGGAGAAGGAGGAGGAGGAGGAGGAGGACCAGTGTAAGCCCAAGAGTCATCAACGATGTTGGCTTAAACCCTCCCTCCAAGCTCCCTCTTCATCGACCCCTACAACGGTTCATTTCCATTGAGGGAACTGCCTCGTTGGAAGACGGCCGCTTGAAGGCCCTGAAACATGCCAAAACAGTGTTCTCCAGATTTCAACGCCACGGATCAACCTGACTGCTGCGTCTTGACGATCCGGAATCGTGCCAGAACGCCATTTTTGGGACTTCAGCACCGCGAATCAACATTACTACCACCCACGCGTAATCTTGAATCCTTCCAACGCACAACTTCTGGTAAGTTGATCACTGGAACCCGCGAAACTCTTGCAATTTTTGAAATCGAATGCGCGCGGCGCTAAGGCGAGAGCCACATGTTGAAAAGGAGCCGCTGTCAATCCGTGAAGCTCATGCAGTTTCTTAAAACGATAGTGCGCGGTGCCAAGGCGAGAACCACATTTTGAAAACGACCCGCTTTCCATCCGGGAAGCTCTTGCAAATGTTTAACACGAATGCGCGCGGCGCTGAAGCGAGAACCACATTTTGAAAACCACCCGCCCTCAATCTGTGAAACTTGTGCAATATCTTAGAACGAATGTGCGCGGCGCTAAGGCGAGAGCCACATTTTGAAAACGACCCGCCCTCCATCCGTGAAACCCTTGCAAAGATTTTAAACGAATGTACGCGGCGCTAAGGCGATAACCACATTTTGAAAAAACACCCGGCCGTGGGAGAGAGGCTTTGCTAAGTACGGCGCCAGCAGGATGCGGAAGGCCCAAACAACCACGGGGAGTTGGGCCAGCGACCAGCTTGCTGCAGCAAAATGTTGATATACTGCCGCGCTGAGCTGCTGAGAGCAGAGCTGCAGGTCTGCCGGCTGCAAGGCTGCCGATGGCCGCGAAGCAAAGCTGCAATACTGCCGGAGGCTGCTGAGCTGCAGAGTGGCGCAGCGCGGCGAGGAACCGCCAGCAATCGCAAGGGACGCCCAGGCGGCAAAAGGCGTGGGGGGGAGGGCCGCAGGCCCGGCCGGCGCACGCATGACAGCCCGGTGGGGCGGAGACTCCCGGCCGCAGGGCTGGCCCGGCGGGGGGCGCCCCTCTGCAAGAGCAGCGGGACAGGTGCCGCCCGCCAACCCAGGGAGGCCCAGGCGGCGGCGGGGCGGCAGGTGGCGGGGAGGGGGCGTGTCATCGCCGACCTGGAGCTCCAACGAAAATCCATCGTGTTTGGCGGAGTCTTGAGGGGAGCTGCGTACATAGGAGCAGGATGACGTGGCGGATGAACAGGAGGATATAGGAGGATGAGCAGGAGGTGATGATGATGATGATGATGATGATGATGATGATGATGATGATGATGATGATGATGATGGTGATGGTGATGGCCATGGTGATGGTGATGGTGATGGTGATGATGATGTTGATGATGAGGATGATGATGTTGATGATGATGCTGATGGTTATGATGACGGTGATGGTGACGGTGATGATGATGATGATGATGATGATGATGATGATGATGATGATGATGATGATTATGATGATGATGACGAGTTGGAGGAGGAGGAGAAGGACGACGAGGAAGGAGGAAGAAGGATAACGAGGACGAACAGCATCAACACGAACTGGAGTGGAAAGATGGGGGGGAGCAGGAGGACACGGGGAAGGCGGAGGAGGCTAAGTGAAGGGGACGGCATCGATATAAACGGACTCGGGATCAGAAAAAGGGCCCGCGTTGCGGCGATAATTCCATTCTTAACGACGGGAGCAAAACGCCGATCCTGAAATGAGGCCCTCGCTGGGGGGGGGCAACGCCATGTTTTGAAACACCGATAACAATCGGACTGTAAAACATCATACGAGAATTAGCCAGCGTTGACTCCAAGTAAAAGGCATGTACCATACTCTACGTCATTATGCTATACGCTACCCTACACAACTCTACGCGACTCTACTTCACACTACTCTAATGCACACTACGCTACTCGATTCTCTATTACATCCTACTCGAGTGCACTCTCCTCTACTCGACTCTACCATAGCCGATGGAGCCATGTGGAAAGCGGAGGAAACCATGCGCATAGTGTGGACGAGGTCGAGCGGATCACAGAGGAAGCCATGCGGATAGCGCGACGAACCCTAACTCACTCTATTCCTACTCTACTCCATTCTACTCCTAGTATACGCCCTATTCTATTTCAAACCTACATATTTACTCTACTCTGGCAGACGAGACGACGCCATGCGGATAGCTCATATTCCTATTCTGGTCATTTGGCCTAGGCTCGATCCAGCTTTGGGCTCGATTTCGATTCGATGCTCGTTCCTCCCCCCCCCTGGCGTGCTATGTCCGCACGCGTTTCCCCCACCCAGTATAACGTTTCGTAGCCCCGTAGCTCAACCCAAGGCCCCAGCGGCTGCGTCCGCGTGCGTTTTCCCCCACCCAGTAGAACGTTTCGTGGCCCCACAAGGAGCGTCACCGAAGGCCCCTGTGGCGGTGTCCGCATGCGTTTCCCCAACCCAGGACAGCGCTTCGTGGCCCCATAGGGAGCGCCTCCGAAGGCTCCACTGGCGGCGTTCGCATGCGTCTCCTCCGCTCAGTACGACGCTTCGCGGGCTCAGAAGGAGCTCCACCGAAGGCCTCAGCGGTGGTGTTCGCACGCATCTCCTCCCAGTGCGACGCTTCGTGTCCTCACAAGGAGCTCCACCGAAGGCCCTACTGTCGGTGTTCGCCTGCCTCTCTTTTCCATCTAGTACAGCGCTTCGTGGCCCCATAGGGAACTCCACCGAGGGCCCCAGTGGCGCCGTTCGCATGGTGAGCGTCGCTTCCGAGGAGGAGAAAAAAGGAGGGGTGGGGCTTCCAGCAGGGGAGGTCCAAAGGGAGAGAGAGATAGCTAAGCCCCGCAACTAGCACGAATCCTGGCCAACTGGTACCTTCCCCGGCTCGGTGGGGCCAGCCCCGGCCGTTTCGACCAATTCCGGCCAGGCAAAAAACAATACTTTCTTAGAAGCCTGTGGGCCTCTCGTACATGCTTTTTTGAGAGGCTTTTGAGAGGCTCCTGAAAGGCTTCGGAGAGGTTTCTGCGAGGCTTTTGTGAGGCTTCTGTGAGTCTCCTGAGAGGCTTCTGTGAGGCTTCTGAGGGGCTTCTGAGAGGCTTCTGAGAGGCTTCTGAAAGGCTTCTGAGAAGCTTCTGAGAGGCTTCTAAGATTCGAATCGGCTTCTCAGAGGCTTCTAAGAGGCTTCTAAGGGGCGGATGCGAGGCTTCTGAGGGGCTTTTGAGAGGCTTCCGAGAGGATTCTGCAAGGTGAATACCGTGCGAAAATCATTTGAACCACCGTACGACTATCACCTGATAACCATATGGCATTCATACGACGTCATACGATTTTCTTGTGAAAACCATGCGGCTGCCATACAAAAACCATCCGAATACCATATGAAAGCCACGCGATGATCATATCAAAACCTTGCGGCGATCATCGGAAAACCATCCCATTACCATACGAAACCTTATTGATTATATCGCCATATGCAACCATGCGCTTGCCATGCAAGCATCACCCGAATATCAGATGTAAGCCATGCGACTATCATCGGAAACCATACCACTACCGTACAACAGCCTTATCATTCGAAAACCATACGGTTATCATATGCAAACC